AATAATAATAATAATAATAATAATAATAATAATAATAATAATAATAAATAAATAAAAATTGTACATGAGGAGGAGCGACAATAGTAGTAATTAGATATTCACACTAAAGACTAATTGCAAATATGGCACAAAATAATGAGATAAATAAGGAACCACAAACTGTTGATGATGTAATTTTTTTTAAGCATTTGCCCTTTTTTCCTTTTTGTTTTTCTTCCCCTCCCTAAATTGTGTGTGTGTTATTTGTATATTTTAACTGCAAAATTTTATAAAGTTTATTAAAAAAAAAAAAAGAATTGAAGGCTGAGTCAACCTGGAGCCGGTAATACTTGAACTACCAAACTGCTGGCACCCGGCAGTCAGCAGAATCAGCCTGCAGTACTGCATTTTGAATTCACTGCGCCATTATGACATGTTATGGGTTCCGTCATCTAGGGATCTGCATTTGGTAGGCCCTAGGAATCAGGCCTTTTTTGTTGTGTGTCCAAGATGTGGAATCTTTCCCCCCCCCGAGGTGACGTTGGCCACATCATTTCTGAACTTTTGAAGGTTCCTTAAGATCTGGTTATGCCTGCAGAACTGGGGACTCCAGGGGATGGGTGAACTGGTGAGGTGGTTCAGTTATTATTAACATCTGCCTGCTATGTCAAAAATGTTAGTAATGAAATTATCCTGACTGAAATGTACAGATAGAGCAAGGAAGAATTGTACCCATGAGTTAGGTATTTATGATCACAAAAATAATGCACTGTGTTATTTCCTTTGCATCCATATATAGCTACAATGGACAATGGGAACTTGGTCAGGAAGCCCTGGATGATATAATATATCGAGCTCAGCTTGAACTCTATTCTCAGCCACTGCTGGTAAGGAGATAGGCTGTAATCTGTTCAATGAGATTTAAATTGTGCATATAATTGTAATATTAATAGTTACCTTTGAATGAATTATGTAATATTCTAAAATCTTCCAAAGGAACCTTCAGCAGAATAGTTTGTGCACATTGTAACAAAATCTCCTGATAAATTTACACTTTGATTTCATCCACTAGGCTACAATCCAGAGTTCCTCAGTCTGTTATAAAGCAAAGATTAGCAGAATATTGGTTAACAGGAATAATTAGAGTCATATTACTTGCAATCTTTGTTTGACTCTACTTGCAGTGTGCTTATTAAAAATGCTCTTTTGTGAATCATGCAGGTGTACACTTGTATATTGTTTATGTATACAGTAGTCCTTAACTATTCGTTTAGGATCGTTTGAATCAATGGCACTGAAAAAAGTGACTTATGACTGTTTTTCACACTTACAATCGTTGCAGCATCCTCATGGTCACATGATCAAAATTTGGATTCTTGGCAACCGCTTCATATTTATGACTGTTGTGACTGTTGTGATCCCCTTTTGCAACTTTCTAACAAGAAAAGTCAATAGGGAAACCAATTCACTTAACAACCATATTACTAACTTAACAACTGCAATGATTCACTTAAAAACTGGGGCAAGAAAGTTGTAAAATGGAGCAGAACTCACTTAACAACTGTCTCGCTTAGCAGAAATTTTGGGTTCAATTATGGTTGTAAGTTGACGGTTACCTGTATGCTTGTTTATCTGCATTTTGCATGTCTGTTGAGAAGACTTTTACAGAATTATTTGACAAGCATATGGCTAGATGGTAACAGTCTAGAAGCTGTGGTACAACTTGAATTGAGCTTCTCTCTGAACTTGAACAGCTTGATAATTATTTTAAGAAGTGGCATAATCTTCCTTTTCCCCTTCGTCTTTTATGAATGTAGGTCACTGGCCTTTTACTAGATACATAAACAAAATCCTGAAAATAGAAAATGTCCACTTTCCTATATCATTTGTTTTTCTTTACTCACAATCATGTCCAGCAGATTGGTTTCTGTCTATTTAAGGAGACACTGAAAGAGCTAAAGTCTTCTCCTGGCAAGCTACTTCGTCCCAGTAATCATCCCCTTCATGAGCGCTCAGTTTATCTTTCTCTTCTAGATTGGTGGTGGGTAGAGGAATAGATTTGTTTTGGGATTACCAAGAAGTGATCATTGTAATATAAAAAGCAGAGGTTAAGTTCCTGAACATACTTTATGAAAACAAAACATAGGGTGTGAACTTCATACAATTTGGAAGAAAATATGTGTGTACTTTGCCCAGATTTAATTAAATGTTAAAATTTTTTGCAAGGGAATCACCTTGCCAAATGAGATGGCATTTTTTAAATCTTCCCTTTAGATTAGGTTAAATGCTTGTTTGATGAATTATTGCTGACTAGATAATAGTATCCTTCTGAAGACAACAATTTGAATTTTATTTTGTTACTAAATATTCCTTTAGTAAATAACTAAATGCTTTACTAAATCGATTTTTAATAAAAAATAAATTCTGCTGATAAGGTTCCTGTAATAGGAATGTTATCAGCCTAAAGACTGAATTCATTTGAATTCAGCTTTTGTTTTTGACTAAACTGAAAAAGCTGGGGCAAACAATAATCCAATGGAAAGTCCTTTTTTATTTATTCATATTGTAATAATATAATAATTGGATTATTATTAATATATAATAATAATGATTTTTTTCTTTCCAACCTTTTAAAAAGTTTATATTTGCTGTACTTCTCTCCATTCTATTCTGCATTTTATTTAAATCTTTCCTGCATACGGCTCCCAGAAAATCAAAAGCATTGCCTTTCATTTTTAATGAACCCTACATAGTTTATTATGGTAGACATTATGGTAGACATAGAGTTACCACCTAGCATGACCCTAAAAAGTGCTTTTAACCACTGAAAAGAATACATTTTTGTGATCATTTGTGCTAGAATTGGTATAAAATTGTTTTTTCAGTTAACATCAGAGGTGGTATTCAGCAGGTTCTGACCAGTTCTGGAGAACCGGTAGTGGAAATTTTGAATAGTTCGGAGAACCGGCAAATACCAGCTCTGACAGGAGATTTTACAGTATCCTTCTCCTACCACACCCACCAAGCCACGCCCACAGAACCAGTAGTAAAAAAAATTGAATCCCACCACTGGGTAGCATCTCTTAGATAAAACATAGTTAATATTTTTCTACTCATCTGATTTGACTGATGAAAATGGGAGAGTAAATAAAATAATATCCTGTTGTGAGGTTAACAAATCATGATTGGCAGCAAGAAGGGTGCATGTCAAGGAAGTCTGGGGAAATGGAAGGCCAGCTTCTCCATGTCTAATCCTTGAGTTGTGGCACTATTTGTGATTTTCCTAAATAGTGAGAAAACTATACTATTGATGTTCAGCAGTTATAACACTGAAAGTACAATAATGTCATTACCCAGAAGATCATTGGTTGCCCTCTCCCCTCTTTGGAAGAGCTTTATAGCTCCCGCTGCCTTAAGAAAGTTCAAAACATTCTCAAAGATCCATCTCATCCTGGGAACCCTTTTTTTGAACTATTACCATCTTGCAGATGATACAGAATAATAAAACAAGCACAAATAGGCTGAAAAACAGCTTCTGTCCCAGGGCAGTAGCTCTTTTGAATTCTGCTGTATAGTGCAGTGTTGGTGTGGTGTCGGGGGTTTTCGGTTCAATGTGTGAAAGGTGAAGGATGTGTTTTTGTATTTATTTTCATGGTCATGATGTGCACTGAAGATGGTGTTTGATTTCATTGTACGAGTGCAATGACAATAAAGAAAACTAAATTAAAAAGAGACTTTGATAATGGCTTTACATACATATCTAGAATTTTACAGTAGCAGAAGGGTTGGTTATAGCAAAATTAATACAGTACACTATTTGTCAACTCCATAGGTAAAATTTGAGAAAAGTAACACATATTTGGCAAAAGATAGGAGAGAGTATATATCCTGACATGGAACTGCAAAACTTAAAAATACAATGATTTATGTTAATAAACAAAGACTGTAGTTATTTAATATAAATCCTAAAATTTGGTTATTATTATTTTTTTCTTTAGTCCTTGTTTAATTTCTTTTTTGATTGCCAACTTACTGTAGCATGAGGAATAGAAGAATCTGGGGGTGGAGTTCAAAGAGGGTTCAGCCTAGAATCTCTATGTAGCCACAAGTGAGCTAAGTTCAACCCCCTTTGAATTCTGTTGACCTTATCTAACTCCTAGCAGGTGTTAACCCTTAGCTGAAAATATTCCTGTGCGTAGGCAGGAGCAGCAATATATCAGTTTAATTGGACCCTCACTTGTGGACTTGATATTTTGTCCCTGACACTTACACAGCATTTTACTGTTGTAATAGGTTGCAAATGCAATGAAGAATTCATTACCTTTTGATGCTCCTGATGTATCACAAGGAGGACAGAAGGTTTTGAAAGTAGAGGTTACTCCAACAGTGCCAAGAATTTCTCGGACAGCTATTACAACAGCTTCAATCCGCCGACATCGCTGGAGAAGAGAAGGTAAGTCTTTATAATGCAAAGTGGAAATTGTAATATGGTATCATTCCCCTCCACTGGCAAATGCTAGCTTCTAAGCCTGAATTTGATCATTACATTTCAGGTATATAGACGTACAGAAAATAATTATCTATGTATGTCAACTCTGTGTATGTCAGCTCAAACATGTAATTGTGACTGCATACTACAATGAAGCAAGAATTCTTCCTATTTTATATTTTGTGAAATCTAAACAAGCTTAAGTGATTTAAGTGGTATATTATGGTATGAAAATTAATAGTAATTACTATCTACTTTCAGTGGGTTGGATCTTTCTGCTTTTTAAAAAATTGTTGGAAGGTAATTATTTTGATGGTGTGACTGTATTTATAATTTTTGGGCAAATCCAACTAGACAGTAACACTAAAAATTTAGACTTTTTTTCCTTTTTCAAACTATTTCACAATTTACAATCTATATCTGTCTTTTGGGGATGTGTGTGTGTGTTTTAAATAATGGTATAGTATGTATATATAAACTTTCAAAATTCCAACAAAAGCTAGATAATATTGAAAATGTTATCTTTGTGTTTTTCATTAAATAATAACTGGTATTTTAATATACTTACTAATATTTTCAGGACCTGTGCTCTGCAAAGCTAATGATAAATCTCAAGTATTTTATGTGTAAGATAATTTAAGAATCTTTTAGTTTTCATAGGGAGCAACTTCAAATCTTTTAAATTCACTCCTGCCAACAAAAAGAAAAGCAAATGTTAAACTGGAAACAAATCTCAATTTCTGTTATAATAGTTTGTCCTGGGAGGTATGGTTTGATTTTTTTACCAATTATATTGGTAAATATATAGTAGACTGCAAAAACATAAAATTTGAACTTTTATTAAACTTTAAATTCCTTTTAAATATTTATGTACGTAGTACTGATTCACTTTTGTTTTCATTTTGAATTCTTCCTGATAAAAACAGTTAATCCCATTTTTACAAATCCTTCATCATGTACAGCTTCACTGCAGAAGTGTTGCATTCATGTCTTCTTGCATTCGGCACATCATATCCACTTATTTTTATGATGCTGTTCAACTTTCTTTGAGAAAAATACAGGTGTGGTTTTCTGTATTCCGTGTACACCTTCATTTCCCTGCCTGGGTTATGATTAGGAAAAGAGTAGAAAGACACTAAAATATTATATGTTGAATCCCAGATGGCTTTGACTTCTCAAATGATGCTGACATGAGCATTCCCGGATCTCCGATCCTGCACGGCTCCACAGACCTAGGGATCAAACGCAAGCAAGAGGGGGACGTACTGATGCTCAGGACCCCTGAGCATGGCTCACCGGAGCCCAACTTGACACCAGCCACAAAAGAGGGTAGGACAGAGATAAGGTGGCATAAGTCAGTAAAGCCATTGCTTGGGGAGGAGGATCCTGGATCTTTCTTCCGAAGCAGAATTCCCTTTTGCTTTAGAGTATATTCCATTGACCACAGGTATACTTTCTTCTCTTTCCTTCTTTCTGCGCATATCCCTTTATGCCTAGCTTTAGGCCTGGAGCTATTTATTCTAACATTTTGGACTTTGACTATCTGTATAATATCTAGCTTAGCATGGTTAAAATAATGTGATAACTTTGGATCATTTTGTAATGCAACGTGTGGATGATCTTGGGGGTATGAGGGAAAGATTCTGCTTAGAGAATGATCAGACAAGAGAGGCAGGAATTTTGTACCTTCAGATTTGCAAGATTGATGTCAACTCTTCTGAGTAAACCAGACAGGAAACCTGACTAGATGATTAAAATGTACTTTATTTTAAGATTACTTTAATAGAATCTTGCAAGTCTGAATGTACAGACTTTCCTCTGTTACTTTTAACCCTCTGATCAGTTAGGGCAGGTCTTCCTAAGTTTCTTCCTCTGACAGTTAAGCGTCTCTTGTTTGGCAATCTCTTTCTCTGATATCTCAAGATCATCCACTCATTCTTTTGCATCCTGGAACACCCTGCTAGTGAGCATGTTAAGTTTGCTAAATGTATACATATATACATTTGTAGCTATTTATATATATAGCTTATATATATATATATATATATAGCTTATATATATATATATATATATACAATAAAAATGTGTCAAGTAAAAATACTGATGCTGTTTTCACCACCTGGAGTGCTTTACAGCATATAAAATAATACTTTAACTGTAATTTAGTATTAGAAGGGGAGGGAGGAGCATTTCTTTTACTATTTTATATACCAAACTTCCGGTTCAATGGATGGTTTAATAACCTGTTCAGTGGATTGAAGTGGAATTAAATTGCCATTGTGATATTTATAAGATTGTGTCTCAAAGTAGGTAGTATAAACCTGAAGAGAGAAAAAAAATCTTATAGCCCTGTATAGTGGTATTCTTCATGTTAACTCTTTACTAAGGGATTCTCATTTTACTCAGTGCACGTCCTTAACCTACTGTCCCCTTGGTGCTGATGCAGAAGTATTCAGATAGCAATGCATTCTAAGTTATAGTTACAAATTTATTCTTTGCTAATCTGCATATCTCACTAATTTATTTCTATAGTGCTTCTTTTCTGTCTTTAGCGTAGTTTTTTTGGCATTGCTGATATTTTAAGACTTTAATAACATTTGCAAATTATGTGCTGTACATGCTTCACAGTTGCTTCAAGGAAAACTATGTAGGAGATGACCAAGCTGAGCCCGAGGGAGGGGTCAAGTACGTCATCATCAATCTTGAGTCCCTTCTCGCCCACAAGAGATCTAAATCCAGCCCACCTTGAATTCCATTGACTCTTATCTACTGCCAATTTTCCTTTGACTGTTAGTAGTTCAGAGTCTTGTAGAAAGCGTGCATTAAACCTGTATTCTTTTGAACTGTCTTGGCTCCTGATTTCTTGCACCTGATAAGCTAAATAGCAAAACAAAAAAGCAAACAAACCCTTTAGCGTTAGAATTAGGATTTCTTATTTATTGCATCTGAATCCATCATGTGCAATCAGAGTTCACAATATATGAAGAGGGGAGGCATTATTGGGAAACTATGGAAGCATGAAATTCAGAATTTACTCCTAGAACTGAGTGAATCTGAGCATGGCCAGTAAATGAGCCCTAACCACAATTTTTCTCCCACTGGTTTTATTTTATTGTACTAACCACATGTTGCATGTGCATGGGACCAGAACAAGGTACAGAAATTCTCACACAAATTCTCAAATCTTCTTTTCAAAGAGTTGCTTTGATGCCTTAGTACTTCTTTCTTTAATATGTTAGATATATTTAGATTAGGTGTTGTTGCCTAAATGTTTTCTAGATAAATAAAGTGAGCATAACTTACACAAAAAAGTATTTTAAAAATCATATTTTTTTGTGAACAAATATTTTTTTGGGGGTGATCTGGGATAGGAAAAGATTGGTTTTCTCTTAATCATAAAAAGAAATCATAGTTTGTTAAATTACTCTCTTTTGGTGATCTTGCTGATTTTACATGAAATTGATAAATATTGCTTCTTTTTAAAATTGGGTAAACAAAATGACACAATCTTATATTTCTTATGCTGGTCTATGATCATAATAAAATTGTTTTCATTTGAACTGTCTTATTTATCCTTGATTTTAAATATTCCAAGTATATAATAAATAATCAGTCTGTTTTGCAATATGCTTGGGTCAGTTTATGTAAATATTCTTTATAAGTTAATAAAAAGTAGAAGTATAATGCTGACAGGATTAATGTGCACGTACTCCTCTTACATTGATTATTTAAGAGAAGCTTTGAATATGAATAATAATGTTGGGAACATTGATGAATCATGTACCTGCAGAGGGCAGAGCTAGCATTGATTTAAAAAATATTTTTTAAAAAATGGTTGAAATATCCTTTTGAGATTATATTTTAGTTCTTTCTCTGACAAGCTTTATTGCCTAGAAGGACTTTGGTTCAGAATATACTTGAACTTTTTGTGAGAAAAATAACCTTTTCCCCAAATGACTATGTTCCCATTGAAGTCAAAAGAGTATATTTATAATCATTAGTAAATCTGTATATTGCTCAAATTGAACTTCTGAATACTTGATCACTTGAGAGATCCTACCTTGCATGTTATTTTCCTCCTTTTTCACTTTCAAGCACTGCTGAGTTGCCTTGGCCTCTGCATGGTGGTGGCATTCAGAAAATTTACACCGAGCCTCTCTGACTCTTTTCTTCGAACGGAAGGGATAATTTTATTAATTATACTAAATAATAATGTTGCAAGCATCATTGACAAACAACAATATTTCTTCCACTTTATGTCATTTTATCCTTGCAAACTTGATTGTAAGGCTTGAGATGTATCCATGGAAGTTGACTCGGAAACACCTCTGGATATTATGTTCCCTCCATTAAAGTAAGGAGGGGTTAAGAGAGGTGGTGGTGGGAAGGCAGCAGCTACTGCTGCTCAATCAAAAGCACTTTCACTTAGCTTTGCATGGTGGTCAAATAAAAGAAAGTCTAAAAGGCACATTTGCTTTCAGGACATTCTTTTATTTCAAATGGCTTTTTAACTTTTTGTGTGAAGAATACCATATGCAAAGTGGCTTGTTTTTTAAATATAATATTTTACAAGGCTCAGAGGTTTTTTTTAAATTTAAGGAGCCTTCTTATTTTACAGGGAACTGTTTTATTAATGTTTGAAATGTTAAAATGATGAAGTAAAAGAACATTGCTGAGAAAATGGGAAAAAATCCTTTCAGTCTGTAAAACTGACATTCTCTCAGCTGTCAGATTTAATTCTACATATTTACATTTGTCAATATGATTACTTTGCAGAAATTTTTGAAATGGGAGAGAAATTATGTTTGTCAGGATAATTGTAAGCTAAGGATTACTGTACAAAACAGAACAATATTAAGTTAGAACAATGGTGTCTAAATAATTGATTGGAAGACAGAATGCTCTGAGAGGCTGGTTAAGCACTTGGTTAGCTAAAGATAAATAATATTTTACAGATACAGATATGGAGACTTGCTTCTGCTTTGTAAATAATCTGTTCTCTTCTTTATATTTCCACATTGTGCTAATTCCATGATAATGTGTCAGTATTTGAAACTGTCCAGAAAGAAAAAAAATAAAAACTATGTATATTTATTACATTTATATGCCATCCATTTTGGATCCAGTGCAACTTTGATAGGCAAAAACATTCTTACAAACCTCACAGTGACACATGCACCCACTGTTAAATACACACACACATAAAATAATACTCAGATGATGACATTCAGGAATACTTGCATGCATCAAAATCTCCATTTCATAGAACCCCTACAAATACTGAAGTAGAACTGCACCTTTGGCATTTAGAATAGGCAGAGGTACAATTTGAGTTAGAGTGAAAAAATAAAGTCAAACAAACCAAAAGTGGCAAAGAACCCATTATTTTCTATTTAAATGAATTCTGACTTAATTTTATATACCAGCACAACCATTCTAGGTTAATCTTTAGCACTGAGGATGGCAGGAAGATTTCCATAAGAATTTACTTCTGGAAGAATGTGCTTTTGGTTACATTCATTAAAAACAATCATAAACATTCCTCAGAAGTAAAAGTTCTCTAGTATTTAATATGCTTATTAATAAGTGCAGCTAGGATCATAGCCATGTATAAATTTATTGCAGTATTATAATTTACGTATTAGTAGATATGTAGTAAAACATGAGTGGTTTATGACTTTTTGAGAAAGGTTAATCTTATGGACATCTTTTAGAAAGTTAATCCATTTAAGCATTGTTAATAAATTCATTCTGTTCCAGACTGCAGTATAAAAACAATTATAATAAAAACACTGTAACTTGAAGTTTAGATTTCTCCAAAATGTTTGCAGCATAATTTTGCTTTAAAAAACCTATGTGCAATCCTATCCACTTTTAAAATTGAATCATAGTATTGTAATTTCTTCATCTGGGGTCTTTGGTATTTTCAGATGCTGAAGGAGTCAGTGGACGAGAAGAGTCTGTGAACTTCAATGATGCTGATGAAGGGTTTTCCTCTGGGGCATCACTTAGCAGCCAGCCACCAGGGACCAAACCTTCATCCACATCTCAGAGGGGCAGCTTAAGGAAAGGAGTTGCTGGGCTTTTGGCCAAGGATAAGGAGATCATCTTGGCTACCAAATCCACAGACAGCCCTCGAGAATCTGCCCGTAGGCAGTACCTGCACCAGTCAGTTGACCTCAGTACAGATGCAATTGAAATTACTCCCACAAAGAAACACTTGAGTTTGCCTGCTGGGCAGGTGGTACCAAAAGCCAGCAGTGTAAGCCTGATCCGAACTGCAAGTGCTTCTTCCAGTAAATCATTTGACTATGTGAATGGTAGTCAGACAAGTTCCAATGTTGGCATTGGCGGTGATGGTGTTACTAACTTAGCAGCTGGCAACTCCAATCGTTTTTCAACCATTAGTCTACAAGAGGACCGGTTAAGTCAAGCTGGAAATGGTAAAGATGTCCACTCACCAGGAGCTCCTCTGACTAAGCAGTCCCGATCCCCAAGTTTCAATATGCAACTAATATCCCAAGTTTAACTTTTTTTTTTTACCTTCTTATATTTTTTCAATTTGTCCAATTCTTTTTTGAGCAACATCTACAATCTTCATCCTATTGTTTGAAAATCCTGGCTTTGGTGATCTTGTTCGATTCATTTAGATACTATACTATATTTTGTACTGAAACAGCAATAAAACCTCATGTTTTCGCCCCCTCTCCCATAAATGTCATTGTGAAACAGTATAAAATATACTTTATGCCTTTTCCAAGCCTTTGGTTCTCCTTGGGTGATGTGCAATCCATTATAGGCAGATCAGTTCCCATTTCAACACTGTGAGTCTTGAGAAGATTGGAGGAAATGGAGAATATGATCCCTATCAAAACGAAGCTTCGGCTTTCCTGAGAAATAATAAACGGGTTAGTTTTCTCAGTCTAAAGTTCTGCAAAGACTAATGAATTGTGATTTTTTTTGTCTCTTGGAACCAAGAGTGCCTCAGAGATTCTAGTAGGACTTTGGACCTCTGAGTTAGTGCAATCAATTCTGTGGGAGAGGAATATTGTCATTGCTTCTGATGGCGGTTGAAATGCACTTTGTCATGAACATTAGAGTAGTCTTCCTCTTCCATCCATCCACTCTCGCCCTCCCAAGCTTAATGTTCAGCTACCGAGACATGTATATGTGACCAGGAAACTGCTGCTTCAGAATGAATGGGCTGTAAGTAGACAGCATAGGTTACAGTGCAGTTTTAAGGCCTGTGGAGCCATGTTTACATGTCTTCCTCACCCAGGAAACAGGGTTGTTTCTCTACATGGTAGAAATTTGATATATAAAATACATTTAAAACAAGATTAAGAAAATGGGACATGGGCTGTCCCAAGTATGACTACTCATCAATGCTCCTTTAAAAGTTACTTTTGTAAATTGATAATCTTTGGAACCTACAAGAACAATTGAAGTTTAGGCGAGGGAGTTTTTCAGGGTGCTTGCTGTGGAATGACTAAATTTTATCACTGAACAGACTCAGAAGCTTCAAAAAGGACAAGTGTTCTCCAGCGGGAAATGCCAAGAACAGAGGCAATGGCTGCTGAAAATACTGAGGCATCAGTTATCCTTAAAATCATTTCTCAAGCAGTGGGGTTTTTTGGCAGCTTTCTCTTTCCAAAGGAAACAATTCACTGCCTATATTTTGATCAATCCATTGCAGTCATATTTCATATAGTTAATGTAATGCGGGTGTATGTGGGGGAGCTAAAGATATTATCTCCTCCACTTTAATCTGGGAATGCATACTGTTGAATTTAACCTTGAATGCATGTGGTGTGTCAGCAATACGTGATATCTGTGCTGTAGATCACTGCTTTAAATTGCATTTCTTATTCTAAAGAAAGGGTTCATCATGTTTTGAAGAGTAATGTATACATGAAAAGCAAAAGGGGGCTGTTTTGCCTTCTTATATTTTTGCTGAACTTTGACCTGGAATTCTGTTGACAGTTAATGAAAGGAACAGATATAAGTTATATTCCTCTTCCCCCAAGTAACCTTTTGAATTAATTATAGGTTGAAGAGATTCAAAATAATAATACTTTATTTTCAAAAGGGTCAGAGGTTAAAATGTTCAGATTACTAAGTGCCATTATTCTGCTAAAGAAAAATTTAAGTTTAGTTGATAATTTCCAATTCTACTCTCTTTTGTCTTTCTTCCTTGACTTTTGATTTGAATCTGGAGTTTGTCAGAAGAATTGTAGCTAAAGTAATCCTCATTTTAAATTATTAGTATTACACTAAGTTGTAGTTACTTTGTATAGACACTCATTAAAGCAAAGCTAATGTCAAATTTAATTCCAATATTACTGAAACTCAGGAATGTTTCCAAGTGATTCACTGTAATTATTGAATATTCAGAATAATTTTGAATAATATGTATAATGTAGGTTAGACTTCTTGAGCTCTGAAGCCATCCATTACAGAAAACTTCAAAAAGTTTCTTTGTTCTGTAGAAAAAGTGAAAAGGGGCCTAGGTGTATGTCTTTATTTTTCTAGAGAACTAATATGATTCCCATATAATTCAGCAGTCTTTTTTAATAATAGAAATTATGACCATTATACAGAGAACTGCATGAATAGTTTTATAGCTAGGGACTTTGGGCTTTCAAGTGTTAAATAGTAGTTTATTGTGCAACATATTAAACTATGTTTGCATCCTTCTGATTTAATGGTGTGAAGATCACCAAAATGATTATGACCAAGGTGACAGGATTTTTTTAAAAAAACCATTGGTTACAAGCCTGTGGTTACACTTAGAGTAGCTTTTTAAGAACCAGATCCATGTATTCTACATAGCAAAAACATAGTTAAAAAGAAATATTGCTGTAATTAAGACCAGTTAATTAGACCAATTTGTTCTTTTTGAAAGAAATTTAACATGTTAAGCTTTTTTTATTTAAAAAAATCTGTATGTGGTTGTATACACATAATATGCAGAAAGCCTAATTTACATATTGATGATTGGTAGCCTGCTATCAAACTGGAATGTGTTTAATTGTGCAAATCTTCATCTTAAAGAGGTTATAGTTTATTTTTTTAAATATTGAATAAAATATATATTGTATCTTCTCAACGTATTAAAATTACAATGTGTACATATGTTGGGGTAATGACTTCCTTATAGAATTAGTAAAGTGATTGTTTTCTTATGTGCAGTACAATTTTCTGTATTTAGTTCTTTTGCTTTTAGTTATCATTTGACACATTATAACATATATGGGTTTTTAATTTTAGTTTGTTTTGTACATTGTTCAAATTCTGTTCCTATTTTAATATGCAACTTTCCCATACTGTGGACTCAAGTATGAAGCTTACCTTGTTTCTGTGTCTTTATGATGGAGAAAACACTGCTTCATATCTTTTCTTAAATATGTGTCTTACTTGAGAATATTAATTAGTCCTCTTAATAGGTCATGCTAGTACTGCTTCAACATTTGTTGATGTATTTGCTGCTAAACTGTCCCAAAGTTTTTGCTAAAAGCACTGTATTGATGTGTATTTGAAGGTTCAGACTCAGTGGGGATGTAACATCTTCCTTTGTTTGTTATTCGTGGTGAGATTGTTTCTTTCCTCTTAGCATCTTGGGTTTGCTTACTCTTGCCCCCCTCCCCCCAATCTGGATTGAATTGCACACTAGCTTTTATGATGTTGACCATGAACTATCCAAAAGTGTGTAAACTTGCCATGTATGCTTACCAAATATATAGACACTCAGTCACCACCTTTCATGTGTTACTCAGAAAGTACTCTGTGGTTCACAAGCTCATTGTAATCTAGAGAGAGTGAGAGTTAAAATACTCAATTATGAAAAGGAAGATGGGAAAGAATTAAAAAATGGTGGCACCTGAGTGAAGATACAACAGATCAATGCTTGGTGTAGCTTGTAAAATTCATTGATATGGAAATGAAATAGAATTAGATTGGCACAGAAGTCAGAACTTTCCATTGAACCTTGTAATTTACCATTACAAACTTTTTACTGGATTATAGGCAACAGTAATACTCAGAAGGATATGACAGATATTTGTATTTAAATATTGTTATACGTATATCCTGTTATATAATAGCTTCTGTAAAGTAGAAATGGCAGTTCTTACAATATTTTGTTCCAGTTTCACAGTGGAAAAGAACAAAGCATCTTTATATTTTGTGCATGTGTTGACCGAAATGCCTGTATAAAAATCTGAAAACATGATTACAAGATCTATGAACGAAACTGGGTAGGACAGTAGTCTGAAATAATATTTTTACTTGCCTTCTTCTCTGGAGAAATATGTAATCATTACCATATTGTAAAGACTATCCTGCCATTACTTTTGCTCTAGTTTTACATGTAAGAAGAGGAAAGGTATAGTTACATGGTTATTAACAAATGTTTGATTATTTTAGTTACACCATTTGACCTTGCTTGTTTTTTTTCATAATATAGACAATAATATGAGAATAAGATTAATCATCTCATTGATTACAAAACTATTTCAAACATTGCTAATGTGCAATTTATGGGCAGCTCTTTCAATGAATTCTTAATAAGTCTTTCATGTAAAAGTATGCATCATTCGATACCAGAATGATGAATTTGTATCACAGTGAGACGTTGCTTAAAATATAGTGTTTTTCAAACATATAAAGTATCTGATTCATAAACTGGGTGTCTTGTGTCTTGATGCTCTTTGTAGATTTAAAGTAGGCAAGTTCATATATTTTACAACTGAAATAAGGAAATCATAATATTTTCAGACTTTTGATTTGCACTATTTTATGGAAGTAGTTTTCTTTCTGTTGGGGAATGGATATGTGCATGTATATATGTGTGTATATATATGTGTGTATACCCACCCACATACATACATGCATATACATATATACATACACAGATGTGTACAATTTGTCAGTTGTTGACAATCAATTGCTGTTGTTTGCAAGATGTAATTATAATAGTAATGTAATATTCTGAAACATATATGTATATATTTCCAAATGTTTGTTTAATATTTTTTCATTATTATCAGTATTTATCTTCAGGGAATAGATTTTCATCATCTTGTTACAAATACATTTTGAAGGAGTAATTTGAGTGCTGGTAGTACCATCCAAATGCCACAGATTATTTTTTTAATTAGTACAAAAATTGCAGCTTTTAACAAATAATTAAGAAGATGAAATTGACAATTTTATTTTAGACTTTAAAGAACATAGGGGAAAAGACAAATCAATCTAAATACTATTTGCATGAATTATTTTAAAATTTGTTTTATAAATTTCTGGATAATTGCACATCATGCATTATAATTTTATTGCTTAAAATAAAACAAAGCTTCATATTCAACCAATTAAAATTAATAATTGCCAAATACTAGTAATTTGATTCATTGCTTAATACTAAATGCAATGTATAAATTCAATATTGGGACATTAGTAGTATACATGCAAAACCACTTAGATGAATCCAAAGTTGGTTCAGTCCAACTGTTGAACACTAATTTTTTTAACACAACAAAGTAGACATGTCTGTGACAAAAGTTTTTATTCATGGTTCATTAGGAATTAAACTTATTTCCTGTTGTTAGTGTTTCTGCATTATACCCATTATAATTATTCACATTCATTTGTACTGTTAAATCTTTTTAATATTGCATTCATTGATAATAATGAATGATAATATTGCATCCAAATATTCACGGAATCATTCAAATAAAAACCTTTAATTTCTTTTTAATTAAAGGTTTGATTCTCTTTCATTTAATTCTCTTTTATTTTTAATTTCTCAAATATGCTTTAGCAAAAATACATAATACCACTATTAACCTGAATATCCATCTTAATTTTATGCTAATACATCAAATACTATTTTGAATAAAAAATTAATTCTCCCTTTTAGTTTTCCCCAAATATTTTTGTATTGTGCTTTTGTAAAAAACCTTCACTTTATGTGCAGTAAGATTTTTAAAATAGTTTGCACTTAAAACATATAACTGCTTAATTTTGTGGAAAATAATATATTCAAACTCAAATCCCCTCAAAAAGCAAGTGGGATTTTAAAAATTGGTTATTTGTATGTATTCGTACACCCATTTCCATTATATGTAAAATTTAAATACAATAAAATATACAAGGGGTACAAGTTAGGATATCCTTTCTTAAATCTGTCAGAATTGTCAAGGCTGCAGTATTGAATTGCATAAACTGCCATATATGATTAGAGCACAACTTTTTAAAAAAACCATTGAATTGTTTTTGTAAATATATTCAAGCCTATAGTAAGTATAGTAAACTTGAAAATATATATTCAAAATTGGTTTGCTGTTCTTCCCAGAAATAAAATTTCAAATGTATAGTCATACCATAATTTGTAATAAGGAGCATCAATTTTATGCTGAGACATTTAATTTGCAAAGTAATAAATATTAGTGAGTACAAAAACATTTCTGTATAATTTTGAATTCTACTAATTTTAAAAGCCGATTACACTAAATATTAGAGAATTAAAATTTGCAGCATCCATTGGTACTAGAAAACAGAAACAGAATATTTTGGTGCTTTACTTCAAATGGGACCAAGATTATTTCTGGCATTAACAATATAATATCAATTCATGCAGTTAATCGTTTATCATGTTTAACCCAACCCAATGTCTTTATTCTACAAATAAAATACTTGAAATTAGTAGATAGTGGGGGAAAAAGCCTATTTAATTTACACTGGCTTATCAACGTTGATTTTGTTTTTACTTGAATTTTTACTTCCAATCAACATACATGGTTACTCATCTGTAATGTTTCTGTTTAAACAATTACAATAGGCATTCTGAAATATATTCATGAGTGTTTCAAATTTTACACAACTTAAATAGCCTTCATTTTGAAATTACTTTTTACAGTATTATCATTAGTATTTAGTATTAGTATTTCTGAATGTATTGTTTATAATTGGAAAGTAGAAGTAGAAACTTGAAATCAGCCTGTTTTTTGCAAGGTCATCTCAGACAAGATGATTAGCTTAACTTGGTCACATTAAAACATTACTCCTGGATTTGAATAAATTCTGACAAGCTACTGATGGTGAATGGAGATGTTAATTTTTAATGTTTGTAAACAGATATCCTGACTTACAATGTTTGATTCTAGCTTGTTTGACAATAGTTACATAAGCTCAACTTTCAAAAGCATTGTTTTCCCTTCACACCTTCCATCTGACCAATTATTATCTGTCATACAAAGGTTTATTATTAAACCGAGATTTCTGAAGGATTTACTGTTCTGGCATTATGTAACCTATTTTACCTCATTTACAAAAACCATAGCTAGCAAATAGCCCACTTATTTTATAGAAAATCTGTTTGATGAAAGGAGTTGATTTATGTTAATATTCCACCAGTATATTGGTATGATATTTGAAACAAATTAAAATTTGGTGCTGGTGAAATGTTAAACAAAATGAGTATGTAATATAAATGCAGTCTTTGTGGCCCTAACTTGGGACCTGTGAAAAACTATTAACAGAGCTCAGATGACATGTTTTTGAAGATCATTATACTGGTGCATGTAAGCCATTATTGTAACAGTCTTACTGAATCTGGTTAATGTTGAACTGTGTTAAGTGTTGAATTTGTAAATAACTGCCACAGATAGATAATATTTTGAATCATTGTAAATACAGGTGTATAAAATTAAAACTAATCTGGCAACACAGAATATATATGTATTTATAAAAGGTGTTTAAATAAATATTGTGCTGTTTCTGGAAAAATGGTCACATTGTCATATTTTCCCCAGTATACTTTTACATGAGCAGTATATGTTCTTCTCATAAAACATGTTTCTTCTGGGTAGGTATTTTATATAACAATCCAGAATACTTGTTTTGCACTGAAGTTAAGTTCTAAAAACTGGCTGATCATTAGTATTACTTGGCACAGATCATCAGTAGGTTTACATGTTACAAGCTGCAGTATTTTAATCTGTAAGGCATTGGAAGATTGTATATTGGTTCTCTTCCAAATGCTCCCATGTCTTGGGAATATAAAGACTAGAAGATTGTCAGCGCAACTACTGATTTGATTGTTAAAACTTTCACATTGGCTTCTATTCCATTCCATTCCACTCCATTCCAATACACAAACTCTTCAGATAGTATTTAATATACATCCTTAAACTGTTATAGTGGTAGAAATATTTACAGGTTTAGAACCATCTAAAATGTCACAATACAGAAAATGATATTATTTCCAAAAGTGTAGGGTGAGTATTGAAATGACTCTATGATAACTTCCAATCGGCCAGTGACTGGCCAGAAATTAATACCACCCTAAACCATTTAGGAGTAGGAAAAATAACCTTTCAGATGTTGACCGACATCTATTTTCTCCTGAACATTAGCCATACTGCATCTGAAGTCCAACATTACATGAAGTAGCTTAGGTTCCTCATTCTTGATTGGAGTCCATTGTACATTAAAAGATTTACTTGTTCTTCAGATACATTTCTTAGAATATTAGAAGTGTTTATTAAGTAATTACCAGGTTTTCAACTTTAATAAGTTGGTTTTATAGGCTGCAGACTGAAATTTGTGTTCTTAAGGCAGCCTGATGAAGACAGCCTAACATCATGTATTTGGTTTTGCCAAAACTATGGAAGTAAATGGGATCAGCAATAATTTAATGAAAAATAATGTCACTTTTGAAGAAATTCTTAAACTTAATTGTCCAACTCTATATTTTTTCTTCATACTGCTCCACAAGATACTACTGTTCTTCATCAATTTAAGATGTGATATTTCAGATTCGATGCATTGCCATTATCGTTGATCCAACATTGTATAATTTATCCAAATTAGTATTCTTCAGTGACTATAGTTACTTTGATTGGTATTCTTGGGCATTCCCTAGAGGTATGGTTTAATTTTGATTTATACACCTTAAAAATAAGCATAAAATAATTGTTGAACAGAATTTTATATTACTTTCATAACAATGCCACTTGTTCATATTGTGTAGGTACATTTATTGTTAATGTATAGTTTGGGCAACACAAATATGTAGGTTTGGATGATTTTCCTCAAATACATGAACTTAACACATTAGCTTAATTTTATTCTTTCTAATCTAGTTTCAGAATTTGTGCGGAAAACAGGTTTTAAGTCATATTTATACACAGGGGTGGGTTTCTACCGGTTCTGTCCACCTCTGTAGAACCAGTAGCTCTGAAGAGCAGCAGACATAGAACCGATTCTATGTCTGCGGATGTTTTTGCCCACCCGGGATCTTACCTGACCTTTATTTCCTGATTTTTTCAACTTCAGCTGCCCTGCGAGGCACAGCTGCAGTTAAAAAAGCAGGAGAAAAGGGCTTTTTGAAAGGCTGCTTCTCTGCTCGCAGCATCCTGATGACGATTTGACCGAACTGGTAGTTAACCCTGTCGGATCCCACCCGTTTATGCAGAAACATTGTAAATTCAAAACGGTTCACAAATTTTTAAGCACCTCTGCAGCTATCTTTTTTTTAAAAATGGCATAATTTGTCCTCAGGTTATTTGTAGAATTTGAAAGAAGCTTCATCTTTTTAAATAATAATAATCTTCTGCTAAATCACAAAATTGCAATTTTTCCCATGATTCCTGATGACTACAGATATATCCCTATCATTTCTTTGGTCACAATATGTGTATCCATTGCTATTGTTAACCATGGCAAGTGTTTGTTTTCTTCTTTTTATGACCATCTGTTTTCCCAGTGATTTCCCCTACAAGCATTTTGAGATAGGCAAATGGCAAGTTCGGTTTGTTCATCACAATCTATGGAGTGTGAAATAAGATGGCCTCGAGAAGCGTGCATCATCCAAAACACATTGAGATGCTGAAAATCTGGATTAATTCCATTCTTTCTTTACATTCCAGGCCTATCTGCTTCCTTTACTCCGTTGACTATAACCTCCAGACGCACAAAAAAGCTGTTTGTTTTAATCCAGCCTAATTTATTGGGGGAGGAGGGAGACTTTCAATGTATTTTTCTAAAAGGTGTTTGGAATCTCGGAGAAATTGGGTCGAAATTCCAGGTAGAAGTCCAAATCCTGGCAGCAGATCGGAGCTTAAACGGAAGGCGATTCAGCGCTTGTTTGTTTCAGGGTTTATTTACAGCCCTTGTATCCTATTTCGCTTTCAAGGATGGATCTGGGATACAGCTAAAACGAAGAATCCAGACTTGAGAAAGACGAATAAAGTAGCTGCATCACCCGACGCCCAGAGCTGCTTTCATATTCGTTGAACTTAGGTGGCTCAAATGCCCACGCAGCTTCTCGCGCCCGACTTCGCAGGGGCCAGAAAACAGATCGAGGGCTTCCACCTCCTCGCGCTCTCTTCCCTTCCCGGTGATTTTTTTTTAAAATAAATATTGTTAGTTTAAGAGCAGAATTGGGAGACGTCACCGCCGCGTATCTCGTCGCATTCCGGGGAGGAGTCCTTGCCCATTGGCCGTAGAGAGGGGCCAATCCCGAATCCGCGGAAGGAAGCCGAAGCTTCAACAGAAGGCTGGCTAGCTAGCTCCGCCCGTTGCCCCGCGATACCCTGAGAAAGAGGTTGGGTCGTAGCTCTGGTAGTTGGCGGGAAACTCGCGTTTATTCTGGTGCTGTGATCTGGTGAGCAGCGAGGGGGCTGGGTGGAGCGATCGACCGACCGAGTCAGGGCGGGGAGACAATTCGGAGCTCCACCGTCGGCTGAAGGGAAAGATGATTCAGCGTTGAGGGCGCGTGGTTGGGACTTCCGCGCGCGGGAGGTTGGGGGGGGGGGGGGAGCGAGCAAGCGAGCGCAAACGTCGCTTCCAAATAAATGCCCCGAAGATCAGTTGCCTCAGTTAAAGCAGGGCTCTGTAACCTTGGCAACTTTAAGCCTAGCGGACTTCAACTCCCAGAATTCCCCAGCCAGCTTACTGGGAGTTGAAGTCCGCCAGGCTTAACGTTGCCACGGTTGGAGAGCCCTGTATTCCAGAGTCGGAAAGCTAGATCGGTGAAAAGTGAGCTTTGGTTAAAATAGAAGGCGGCGGTTCTTGTCTAAGGAAGTGCGCTTTTTTCCTCGTTTGTCAAGCGAGTCCTTGTTCTGTGTGGTTTGGTGGCAATGAACAGAATACTGACTCTGCTAACTTAAAATAGAGAGAGTAGCCCGTTCAAGTGGAGCTCTTTCCTCCTCCGACCCGGCAACCGTGCGTGAAGGTGTTTACGGTTTGGTGTAGCTAGCAGCGTCAAGCAACTCGCAACGATGCGATCCGACATGACCGATAACGGGGCATGTTGGGAATTGTAGTTCGAATACGCGGGCAGTTGCAGGCTGCTCGTGTTAAATTGTTTTTCAGATTGCCTCTTCTTTTTTTAGGCCATACGTAATGCCTTTATTCAGATTAAATTCTTTTTATTTCTACCGGGGTACTATGACTGGGCTTGCTTAATTGAACACAACTTGTTGAAAAGTGGGATACCCACAATCCTGCTTTCTCTTCTTGGAAGTAAATCCCATTTAACACAGCAAGGTTTAGTTTTGAATAGATATTGTAGAGGATTGTATTACAGACAGTCCTCTCGATTTACAACTATTCGTTTAGTGACTGTTCAAAGTTGCAATGGCACTGAAAAAAGTGACTTATGACCGGTTTTCACACTTGCAGCATCCCTATTGTCACGTGATCAAAATTCAGAAACTTGGCAACAGGTATGTATTTATGATGGGGGTCATGTGATCACCTTTTGCAACCTTTTGACAAGCAAAGTCAATGGAGAAGCTGGATTCACTTAACAACCGTGGTACTGATTTAAAAACTGCATGGAATCACTCAACAACTGTGGCAAGAAAGGTTATAAAATAGGGGAAAAAATCACTTAATAGCTGTCTTGCTTAGCAGCAGAAATTTTGGGCTCAGTTGTGATTGTAAATCAAGGACTGGCTGTGATGGCTTTAGCACCATATTCTATTTCTTTAGTAAGAAATATAACTGCCTACCCTTGTTCCTTTCCAAGTAAATGTGCTTCAATCGATAACATTGGTTTGCATTCTTTTTACATTGATGTGCAAGCCAGTCGGAAGTTTTGTATTAACATTTGAACAAAATTTTGTAAGTTTGTGTATTGTATTGTAATTCCTAAATCGTTGCCATTTCATCTATAAAGTACCATGTAATTATAGACATTGTCTTTCTCTTATAGATATATATCTTTCTCTTTAGTGGTAGGCTATAATGTCAGATTGTTTTAACAATAGAATATGCTTACATATTCTGCATTTATCCTTAGCTGTCTCTATTTTGCAAGTATTTAATTGTGCAAAAACTTTAGGTGGAAAGGAAGAATCACTAGAGAGTTCTGCAAAAAGAAGTGTATATATAATTAATCTAATCCAATCATATCAATCTGTTATTGATATCAAATTACTGGAAAATATATAGATAAAATATAAAATAAGTTTACAAGCATTGCGTACCTTAGATAAGGAAACTCAATCCCTACTTTCAGTGCTGTGGCAAATCAGCCTTTTTGATCATTTGACGATATCTATTAATTGCTTCCCCCCCCCCCCTGTTTCCTCCAGATTACACAGGATGACAAATTGGGCCCTACCACCACAGGCTTACTCTCTTAGTCTTCCCATATGTAAGTGAATCAAGTCATTATCCATTGTACTACACAAATTGTTTTATTGTGTTTTTAACTGCTGAAATTTAACTAGTTTTGAAACTGAGTTTTGTATATTTTGAGGTGCCAAATCTAAGTCTTGCCTTACTCCATTGGCATGTTATGAGGATATTATCTAGAATTCTACATGAGTGCCTTCTTGGATAGC